AGATAGCAGTTTGCTGTTTGTGCTACTCACCCATTTAAACATGTAGGAGCAACTAAACCTCATCCTCGCTCCAAACAAACGATCGTGTATTCACCATTTTGGATGTAACTGTTTTCTTGCTCGAGACTGAAGTATTTGCCCGCGAGCGTGCGCCGAAACGCTACAATCAAATTGTCAGCTAGTAACCTATGGAAACTACAGAGGATTAACGAGCACAGCATTACTCAAGTAAACGAGTGTCTTTTGCTCTGATCAACATCTGAAAAACATTAAGGTTTCCTGAGATCGTCCACGTGTAAACAAGTCAGTAGATTGGTCAAAGTGTTCCTGAGCCCATGCAGTGATGCTAATAACAAAGTCTGAGCTGCTTTTTTTTGCAGAGGTCTCCGAGAACCTGAAAATCACGAGCATCCATTATGGACTTCCAGCTTCGTCCCTGGAGCTCAGAGATGTCTCCAGATTCTTATTTGATCGTATAATTTTCTATTAAACATTACTCGTAAATTGTTCCTGTGTTTTTAGACGGTTTAACACAAACCGGTGAACCATCTTTACTTCTGGGTAATTAATCCTCTCTTTAAACCCAGTGCTCTTTCTGACCTGTTGCCAATTAACCTAATTAGAAGCAAAATGCTCCTCCGACTGTTTTTTTTTGTACCAATTTAAGCCTTTTGTTGTCCCTTTCCCAATCTTTGTGAAATGTGTTGCTGCCAAAAAACAAAAAAACAACAACTTTGTTTTAATATGTTCAGTTCCTTAGTTTAAACATTTGATAAGTTTATTTTGGTCTTCTTCTTCTTTAGGCTACTCCCTTCATCATGTGTCATCGCAGCGAACTAAGCCGCACGAAGACTTGGCAATTATTTTGACGCTGGATACTCTTCCTGACGCAACCACAGACCACCGAGCTACCACAGCCCTCTGTGTGGAGCAGAGAGCTACTATCTAAGGTGCCCAGGGAAGCAGATAGGTGGTTAAGGGCCTTGCTCAAGGGCGCAAAGTAGGGCAAATGAGGGTAGAGACAGGTGTGGGTGCTCCACCAATCCCACCCACATTTTGATGTAGTCAGTATCGGGAGTTGAACCAGCAATCTTCTAATTGCAGGAACACCTTCTCTAACCTCTGCTCCACCACTTTTGAGTTTACTTTGGTCTATTGTGAATAAAATGTGTATTTATGAGATTCACAAATCTCTGCAGCAAGATAAGGTCCCATCTTGTGTGGACAGGGTTGTAGATATTGATGTGAAGTGTTGCCACAGTTAACTCTGGAGTTATTGTAAAACCATGTCTTTTAAAGACACCTTGACGTTTGACCATATAATTTTATGCCAAGGTCCAACTAAGTCTGCGCCAAAATTGAAGAAATCCCCTCCTGGCGCTTCAGAGACACCGAGTTTCCAAGATGTAGAGGAAATGAAAAATAAATCAAGATCCAGGAATCGCAGCTGACTTCTTGAACGCAGACTTTGGAGCGCTGAATTTTAATGGGAAGTGATGTGCACACGCATTCAGGGTTCAGGGTGCACAAAAGTCAAAACCAAGATTCATCTGTACACATTCTTCTGTCTCCTTAACCAGAAACTACATTTATACACAAACAAATTTGAGACTTTGGTTAACTGTCCTTATATATTCTCTTTAAAAGAGGGGAAATGTTCTGATACAAAAAGTTTTAAGGCCTCTTTAGCTGAGGTTAGACAGTTGATGGTTTACATGTGCTCAGTGCAGATTTTACCAACAAAGAGTGCAGTTGTTTTGCTACATGAACGACACTTTCTGCATAAGAATTTGGATGGTGGGTGCATCTAACTGAAGACAGAAAGAGAAAAAGCTCCTGCGTCTGCTGCTTCGGGAAAAACAACAGCAGGATTTATATGTAAATGACATCTTACTACTTCCACCAAATGATGAACAATAAATGTGAGGATATTGGCAAATTTAAGCTCTCCTCTTCAAACCAGGCTATGATTATTGAACTGGAGTTGGCAGCCGCGGGAGCGTGCATGGAGGACTTTAACAAGAATTTAACAAGATTAATACATTTGTTTGCTCGACTTTATAGCAAAAGTGTGTCTCAGTATAACTTTTACTTAATAAATGCACTTTAATGGTCAAATTAGCTGCATTTCGCGGGGGCGGTGCAGCAAAATGAAGCCGAGCTCCATGCAGCAAGCGGAGGAATATGGCAAGCCGATTGTGTCATTAATAGCTGGTGAAGATTCTCAGGCATCCATCCATCCATCCATTATCTTTTACCCGCTTCTTCCATTTTGGGTCACAGGGTCGCCAGTGCCCATGTCCAGCAATCCCTGTGCGAGGGGCGGGGTACATCCTGGACAGGTCGCAAGTCCATCGCAGGGCCACACAGAGACAAACGAGACAAACAACCATTCACTCTCTCACTCTCACCTAGGAACAATTTAGAGTTACCAATCAGCCTAACATGCATGTTTTTGGTCTGTGGGAGGAAACCGGAGTACCCGGAGAAAACCCACGCATGCACAGAGAGAACATGCAAACTCCACCCAGAAAGGTCTCCGGACCGGGATTTGAACCGGGGACCTGCTTGCTAAGAGGCAGCAGCTCTACCAGTTGCGCCACTGTGCTGCCCCATCCAGGACATGGTAAATTCAAAAAAGTTCAAGACAAAAATAATAAAGTAAGTAAAGTATAATAAATAAAGTCTAATTGTTTTTGTCTGTAACTTTTTTGAATTTGTCATTATAGCCACTTTTACTTATTACATGATACAACGGCATGCCTTACAACAACTACAACAACTACTACTACTACTCTGCTGCCATCAAGTGGCTGAAAGTGGTACTGCTCTTTTTTCAGTAAGAATGAATGAAAACCGTCATGTCTCAGCCAAAATTTAGTTTATAAATATGAGAAAAATCCATAAATATGTTGCTTCGACCTATAGGTCACAGAGCATGTAAATTATGCAAAAAAAAAAAAAAAAAAAACTGACTTATACGCCGAAAAATACGGTAATATGTGTGAGGGTCACAACCAAAGTCCTGCTTAGACTGCAGAAAATGATCATTAGTCTCATCTTTGTAGAGAAGTTTATTGTTCCATTTACAAACACCAAGGTTCCTGAACTCATCCATTAATGGTAAAGAAATGTGCCTCTGATATGTGCTGCATGCTGGACACAAAGCTGAACACGCCTCTCTGCTGGATGGGGAGAGAGCTCTGACTTAATGCTGTGAAATTTGGCAACGCTCACCCGGGGAGCTCTTAAAGTCTCTGCAGTAAAAACCACTTAAACTGATCCAGCCACTGTAACTTCAGAAGAGGAAAGTGGGGCTGTGGATGTGCTTGTTAAAGGAAAATGCAAATGAAGAAACATAGATCTACCCCCCTCTTTGGGCTCATCAGATTTGTATACAGCAAACCTTGATTTCTGCCAATATAAGCATGTGATCCTATTGTAGCACAAGATGTGAAACCAGGTAAAGAGACAAGTGGCTCTAAAATGTGCAAATGAGTTCATCATTCTATGATTACCCCCACTGAAGTCATCTCATATAAATAAAAAATTAAAAACAAATCTGATGACAAAGTTAAAAACGTTATTGCAGTAAAAGTGACGGTGATTGCCTTTTTTGCACCCTTTTTTGTCATCTATAATAAAATAGCATGATTTACTGCTTCCCCTGACATGGTGTCAGTTTTTCTGCCTTTGGTTAAAACAATCAGGAGTGTGTTTTATGTGCTGCTGACTGTCAGGAGAGAGCTCTCCTCTTGCCAAGTCTTGTCCCCCTGCTGCAGTGTAAATGAATGTAAATCAGTTTCCTCCAAGTATGCCTCCAGAGAGAATGACAACTGACGGAGCTTTTTTCTGTTTTTTTTTAGAGTGGATCATAGTTCAATAGAACAACTACACTCCGTATCCCACCCACTGCTTCTGTGACATCGTGGAGGAGCAAGATATCCAATAGGCAACAGCTCTCAGCCAACAAAGAGAATATGTGATTACCAGCAAGCCCAAATGGATCACAACTTATTGTTAATTAATGTAAATTTCATTCAACAGTCATGTAATATAGTTAGATGCTATATAAGGAAAATATATCATTTATAAGTAATTATCTAAACTAGATCTAAAGTCAGTCAATAACACACACAACTCAGAAATGACATATGACGGGTGCAGAAATGGAAACATTATATTATATTTATTATTATTTGCCTGTTGTGTAGTCAACACTTAGAAAATGATACTTTGAAGGATTTCTATTTGTTAACCATCTTCTCAGTGGGTCAGGTTTGTGTAAAAGAAAGCTCAAAATAGTCAAATATATAATATTTCTTGGTAAATATATATCAAATATTCTAAAAACGGTGTAAATGTCGCATAAATCTGAGGCTATATAATCGTTTGTGCTAAATTGTAGCATAAATCAGCATCGTGTAAAACAATATCTGCCACAGAAATTAATATATGAGCCAATTTAATAAGAAACGACGATTATGTTGGCTTATAGACTCATTTTAATTTTAAACTGTTACTTTCAGTTATAGGCAGATCACATTGAGGTAAATAAGCTCAAATCTGTTTACTTATAAAATGAGACATGTGTTCATGTTTTCTGCATTTTTATATTATTTACATTAGATGACCTGCTAATATTGATAATACTATTATCATTTGTTTATGTTTACATACTCAGCTTGACTATTTTGCCAATATCTACAACAATGCTAAATCCAGAGGCTTGCCCTCTGTGAGTCACGTCACGTGACCAACGCGTCCTCTAGTTGTCTTATTTAACTGGAAACACAGTAAAGCTCCAAAAAGCATGAATTAAATCTGCAACAGGCTCAGTCTGACACAAGCTGAGGGACAGACAGCACGAGCAGCAGCAGAACCTGAAACTGGATTGTTGACAAATCTGTCCTTAAAAGAAGTCCACAAAAAACATTTACAACCAGAGAGAACATGAGCGAAGTTCTGCGCTCGGGACTGTTGCAAAGTGAATTACTTACTGATCAAAACGATGATGGAGACCTGAGCGCGTCTTTTCATTAAATCCATGCTTCTGGCTTCAGCTGCGCACAGACAGCGGCTCGTCACGCACACACACGGAGACGCACACGCTCGCTCCTCCGGACAGTGTAGTTATTTCTCCAAGTTGCGCACTCTTACTCATAGCAGTGATGATGCTGCTGCAGCTCCCAGTGACTGCAGCTCAGACCCCCTCCCTCCCTCCATATCGTGCTCGTCCTCCGCGTGCGTTATTAGTCAGGCTCTGTTAAAGTCCGCGGGAAGGTGCGTTCACTGCGCGCAGGAAGTGCGTCCATCGGGTCTCGGAGGAGCTGCATGCGCGCTTCAGCTGCGGCTGATCCGCAGAAAGCTTTAAAAACAAACAGGAAATGATTTAAGAGTTCAAACTGCTTCACTGAGTAATCCACAAACCTGCAGGCTGTGTTTATTTATTCACAGTACACTTTGGATGTTACGGATTAAAACAAGGAGGGCAAAACGCTGAGCTATTAAAGGAATGAACAATTACTATCTTACCTGTCGTACATGTTTTTGTTTTTACTATCTCTGGAGAAAAGTTGAATTGTGACATGACAGATGAGTTAAAGGCTGCTCAGAAGATCAGGATGTCATGGTTTGTTTGCTCCTCCTTCACAGCTGCTCCTTGATTGTCAGTTAATAGTATACAAGCCCCATCCACAGGTATTTTCTGCCAGTCTCCAAGAGAACAAAGCAAGGCACATATGTATAAACGGATTAAATTAAAACGCAGCAAACAAACAAACTGAAAATGGTGCAGCAGCAGAAGAATAATGAAGAACGTTATATTGACTCTGCAGAGGAGCCAAACACTTGGTTTTGTTTTTAACTTGTTTATGGTTAGATCTGTAAACAATAAAATCTTCCCCTGAAACCAACACTTTGACTTGTAGTTCATCCCATTCTGGGTTTAATTTGCTTTTAAATTGGTCCTTTGTTTTCCAATTTCATTTTTCTGTTAATGTCCTGTTTGAGTTTTCGCTCAGTATTCAACTCCTGGTTTAACCACAGCACGGCAGCGGTTGGGGGTCTTTCTGGGTGGAGTTTGCATGTTCTCTCCGTGCATGCGTGGGTTTTCATCGGGTACTCCGGTTTCCTCCCACAGACCAAAAACATGCATGTTAGGCTGATTGGTAACTCTAATTGTCCCTAGGTGTGAGTGAGAGAGTTGTTTGTCTCGTTTGTCTCTAGGTGTCCCTGTGATGAACTGGAGACCGGTGTTCCCCGTCTCTCTCACAGTGACTGATGGATCCGAGCACCAGTGACCCCGTGACCCAAAAAGGAAGAAGCAGGTAAAAGATAATGGATGGATGGATGGATGGATGGATGGATGGATGGATAGATATTTGGCTTTTGACAGTGGAAGTAATTATTAATATAATAAAATCTAGCAGAGCACCAAAGTTCTTAGATAATAATTTTGAATGCTTGCTATCGGGGAAAGTGACAAAAATTTCAGCATCTGAACATTTACTTCCAACGTTTGACAAACCGTGCACATCAAAATTCAGATTTATGTATTTATTCTTGTTTTCGTTTTCAAAACTTGTCCCAACCGTGTTGCGCTGACACAGAATCAGTTCTTAGTCCTGAGTTATGAAGGTTAAAATTCACCCATTTTCTACTTCTTACAAAGGAAACTATTTGAACTTTGAGTCACAGTCGCCTGTTTCAGACATTAAACACAAGAAAACACCATAACCCTGATGGGCTCTGAATAGTTTTTAGATTTGACTTTGTTTGCCTGGGAGGTTTGAGCAGCTGAATATAATTAATTTATTCATTTCACCCTGTTCAATATCTGTTGACTCTTTCTTGATCACATAGTTAATAATTCCAGCATGGTTAGTGTAGCAATTAGTACTTCTAATGAATAATGATAGTAATAATAATATAATAATAATGTGTTTTGTGGGGAAGGGTCAGTTTGACTCAGAGTTAAATAACTTTTTTTAAGAGAGTTGGCGAACATAAAAAGTTATTTTGTTTTCCTGACTTTTAAAAGAAAACGAGTCTGATAGTTTAATGACTGCTCTGAATGTCAGTGAAATGTCAGACTCATTTGTTTTTTTAGATTATTAGTTAGGGATTCCAGTCATGACATGATGTATCATTTAAGATAATTATGCACTTGACAGACTTTCTGTTTTCACTGGCGTTTAATGAGACTTCTCTGTGATGAACCATGTTTTTTCCAGTGTTTGTTTTTCTGTTTCCTGTGAGGTTTAGTTTCTGTATTTTCTTTGTGTTTTCCGGCCACGCTCAGTACTTTTCCACTGTCAGCCCTCCCTTCTCAGTTCTGTCCCACCCACTTTCACCTGTTCTCTGTTGTCATTAAGCCAGATGTTTTCCCTTTACTCATCTGCACCAGACAATTTAAACTCCCATACTCATCATCGGTCTGCCAATGAGTCTGGTTCTCGTCTATGTTTCCTCGTTTTCTTGTTACATTTGTTGTTTTGTTTTTGCCATGCCAGCTCTTTGTTTTGTTCTAGTTTTTGGTGATTATTAAATCTTTTAGCTTTCTTAGCTTCACGTGTTGGTCTGTTGGGTCCATCTCTCCTCAAAACCACTTTTTTCTCCAAGCATTAATAAAAATCTGCACTTAAAAAGATAGGCTGCATCAGTAGATTATTTTGGAGAGTAGTCATGTTGTGACAATAATGCAAAGCTGACATTTATAAAAACTTCACCTCCATAGTCAAGAACACTTTTGTCCAGATGTTGCATCAAATGAGCACAGATAAATTTTCATAAAGATGGACATTTGTCAACCTGACATCATTCTCTATGGATACATTACAACAGCAATGCAGCTGTAAATTATACGTACTTATTTTATTCAGCTAAAAGGGCGCATTGAGCTTTTCTTTTTTCAGTAAAAAGATAAAAGCACGTCTTTGAAGCATTTGCTGTAAATGGCTATGAAAAGGAAAAGGCCTGAGGCTTCCAAACTGATCTATGTAACTACAAAAACAGTTTTGCAGCAGTAAAAAACAAAAAAAAAAGGCTGGGAAAACAGATGACAATGTTGACTATAAAACTGATCATAACTTGTTCACTGCAAAAAAAAAAAAAAAGTTGGTAGAACTCAAAATTCTAAGGCAACAAACTTCAGGGCAGTTTTAAGTTTTGGACTTCAACTTAACTATTCAAGTTTTGCTTTTGAGTTTGCCAAACTTTGATTTCCAGGTTTTTGTAACTCAACCAAAAGTTGTAGAGACTTAAATTTTTCAATTGTAAGAACTTTGAATCCTGAGTTTTCTAATTCACATAAAAGTGGCAGTAACTTAAAAGTTTATGTTGTACAAACTATTAATCTTATATTTCTCTAACTCTATTATAGTTTGCAGATACCTAAAATAAAAAATTCTGACAACTATGAATCCTGATTACTGTCAACTTAATTATGAGTTGTAGTAACTTACATTTAAACATCGTAGCAACAATGTATTTCTTTATCCGCTCTACTTACAAGTGAAACGCCGATTACAGTCTTCCAGGTGGATGACAGACTTTTTTTTCCGAGCAGACCGCTGCAACGAGCTAACGGGGAAATCAAGGGGAGGCGGAGTGTGCATTTACGTGAGTAAAAGTTGGTGCACGAACTGTACTGTTGTAAAAACCTCATGCTCAAAGGCTTTGGAGCAAATAACAGTGAAATGTCAGCCTCATTATCTACCCCGCGAGTTCACAGTGACTTTCATCACAGTTATTTACATTCCTCCGGATGTGCTAATGCTAATGACGCCTTGCAAGAACTTCATGATATAATCAGTTCTCTGCTAAACAAACACCCTGAGGCTCTTTATGTGGTAGCCAGAGACTTTAATCACGTGAATCTAAAGGACTGTCTCCCAAGTTTTAAATAGCAGGTGGGCATACTAACAAGTGGAAACAACACGCCGGACCGTGTTTACACGAACGTAAAAGATGCATACAAAGCCTAACCCCACCTAGGACTGTCAGACCACATCTCAATCTTCTTGGCCCCTGCTTACATGCCCCCGCTGAGATGCTCCAGACCTGTACAAAAGAAAGATAAATGTTGGATCCAGGACAGTGGGCCCATACTGAGAGATTGTTTTGATCAAACAGACTGGCAGGTTTTCAGAGAATCTGCGGAAAATAGAGGATCGCTTGATCAGGACCAATACGCATCCTCAGTTTTGGGTTACATTAGTACATGTACTGACACCGTCTCCACCATCAGATATGTTAAAAGCTAACCAAACAGAAAACCTTGGCTGAATGCAGAGGTGTGCACCTTGCTGGAAGCCAGGAACACTGCCTTCAGGTCTGGAAGCTCAGAGGAGCTGAGAAGGACAAGGAAAGAGCTGGTCGCTGGTGTTAAGAGGGCCAAGGCCACATATGCACAGAGGGTTGAGGGTCAATTCACCTCGCAAGACCCTCGGAGCATGTGGAGGGGCATTAAGTGCATAACGGATTATAAAGGAAGGAGCGAACAATGCCTCAAAGACCTATCTCTGCCTGATGCCCTCAACAAGCTCTATGCATGCTTTGAAGACCCGAGCAGATCACCCAGCACCAGACTCACCTCACCATCAGATGAAGAGCATCTCAGCGTGACCTAAGCCCAAGTAAGGAGTACTTTCAGGAGGATTAATCCGCACAAGGCAACCGGCCCAGACAACATCCCCGGAAAGGTGTTGAGGGAGTATGCCAGTCGGCTCTGCGAGGTGCTGGCAGACATCTTTAACACCTAACTTAACCTGGAGACAGTTCCCACCTGCCTGAAGACTGCCACCATCATCCCAGTCCCAAAAAGCTCTACAGTGACTGGTCTTAATGATTATTGGCCTGTGGCCCTCACCCTGACAGTCGCTAAATTTTTTGAAAAACTGGTCATGACTCACATCAAAAATCACATCATGTTGCTGCTGATATGTTTCATGTTGCTGCTGATCTGTTTCACGTTGCTGCTGATCTGTTTCAATGTTGCTGCTGATCTGTTTCATGTTGATGTGTTCATGCGTGCTCATCTGCTTACACAGACTCATGTTCATGTTTGTGCTTATGTTCAACGAAATGTTTTTATGCTATTCATGCTTAGTGTATATTTAGCTGATGTTTTTCTTAGTTCATATCTTAGATCTTATGACTGTT